GTGATTCTGGGATGCATTAACAGGTATGTTGTGAGCAAGACACGAGAAGTCATTCTTCCACTCTATTCTGCGTTGGTTAGGCCTCAACTGGAGTATTGTGTCCAGTTCTGGGCACCGCATTTCAAGAAAGATGTGGAGAAATTGGAGAGGGTCCAGAGAAGAGCAACAAGAATGATTAAAGATCTTGAGAACATGACCTATGAAGGAAGGCTGAAAGAATTGGGTTTGTTTAGTTTTGGAAAAGAGAAGACTGAGAGGGGACATGATAGCAGTTTTCAGGTATCTAAAAGGGTGTCATAAGGAGGAGGGAGAAAACTTGTTCATCTTAGCCTCTCAGGATAGAACAAGAAGCAATGGGCTTAACCTGCAGCAAGGGAGGTTTAGGTTGGACATTAGGAAAAAGTTCCTAACTGTCAGGGTGGTTAAACACTGGAATAAATTGCCTAGGGAGGTTGTGGAATCTTCATCTCTGGAGATATTTAAGAGTAGGTTAGATAAATGTCTATCAGGGATGGTCTAAACAGTATTTGGTCCTGCCATGAGGGAAGGGGACTGGACTCGATGATCTCTCGAGGTCCCTTCCAGTCCTAGAATCTATGAATCAACCCCCCACGTCTCCAACTATAAGAGTTTCCCATTCCTCCCGAGCTTGTGTACTTGTCAATCCTAAAACTATCGCATATTGTCTATCTGGAAAGCACACAACACAATGTGAGTACTACAATGAACAAACATGTGAACCCTGTTTGCCTGGTCCCTGGAACTGCCCCTCACAAAAATATACTAGAGCTCTGCAGACCAGGCTAACAGATCCCTCTGTTGCAAGCTACCGTGTTTTGTCCAATTACAGAATGGTTTTCAGATTTTGCAGACCACTTCCATTGGAGTGATCTGGTGTACAAAGACTAAAGTTTATCATGCTGACCAGTATTGTCTCATTGTTTATGTATACCCCCTTGTCTTTAGCTTAACAAAACAGAATTTCAAGGGGTGACTTGATTACAATCTATAAATATCTACACAGGGAAGAAATATACAATAATGGGTGCTTCAGTCTAGCACAGAAAAAAAGAACACAATCCAATGGGTGGAAATTGAAGCCAGATAAATTTAAGCTAGAAATAGAGCACAAACGTTTAATGATGAGAGTAATTAAACAATGGAAGAATTTACAAGGGTCATGGTGTATTCTCCATCACTGACAGTTCTGAAATCAAGACTGGATGTTTTTCTAAAGATAGGCTCTAACTGAAACGGGCATTAGTATTAGGGAGTCCTGTGTTAAGACAACAGTGGTCACGTCTGGCCTTGGAAGCGCCGAGTCTGTCTGTTTTGCCTAGTCAGCTCTTCGGGGCAGGGGCAGGGGCAGGGACTGTCTTGTTCTGTGTTTAGCCAGCGCCGGGCGCAATGGGGTCCTTGGCCCCCAGGACTCACGAAAACCAGCATCTAGTTTACTGGCACCTGGGATACAATACAGCTGAACAGTTTTTGATACACGGGGAAGAGCCACGTTAGTGTGACCATGGGTGTCCCACGGCCACCCCCGGGGACATGGGGCTTTGCAGCCTGGCCACCAGAGACACCATCCTAACGCGCTGCCCGGGGGGAACCCAGGCGACCCCCCCCTTCCATGAGGACAGGGCGATTTGCCGGTGTAGCCCCACAAAGTGCTCCCCTCCCCTTTTGCTACTGGGCTACACCGGCGCTAGCTGCCATGCCTGAGAGCCCCGCCCGGCCCGCGCACGCCGCGAGAAGAGGCTCCCGAGCCGCCCCTCTTACCTCGCGGGGAGGTGGGAGGGATTGCGGAGAAGGAACAGCCGGTATCGTTATGATCCGTTGAGATTTTAAACCCGCTCTGAGCCCCAGCGTTCGACTCCGCGCTGCCTCGGCTAGGCAGCAAGCATACAGCGGCAGGCACCGACCGGAAAGGGAAAGCAGGCGCCCCTGGACCCCGCCCCTGAGTGCGCACGCGCGGCCCAAGCGGTTGCGTGCCCCGCCATCTTGCGGAGGCGTAGCCGCTTCCGGGAGGCAAGGTGGGAGGCTCCCGCGCCAAATACGAATCCGACGCCGGGCCTCAGTGATAGAGTGGGACGTCGCGGCGCCGCTGACCGCGCAGGTGGGACCCCCAGTAGACTGGTTCGGATCCCAGCCCCCACCCCGCCTAGGCTATTCCCTTCTCTTACCCTCCCCCGTTCGGTTCCCAGCCCCCACCCCGCCTAGGTTATTCCCTTCTCTTACCCTCCCCCGTTCGGTTCCCAGCCCCCACCCCGCCTAGGCTGTTCCCTTCTCTCACGTTCCCCCCCCGGTTCCGTTCCCAGCCACCACCGCCTAGGCTGGTCCCCCTCTCTC